GTTCACAGAAACAACCTCATCTTGACCAGAAAGCCTATCTGGAAAACATCTTGCATCAAGTGTATATACTTTAGCCTGAAAACCAGGGATAGTTTGGGGATTCTGTTAGTATACCGGCCACCCCATTGTCTAACAGACTCCCTAACTGAGCTGACCACCCTGGTCTCCGAGTTGCTGTTGGAGTCACCCAGACTTGTGGTTCTGGGCGATTTCAACATTCCACTCGAGACCAGCTTGCAAGATCTAACCGGTGTGGCTCGGGAGTTCATGGATACCATGACAAACATGGGCCTATCCCAGTTGGTTGATGGGCCCACACACTGCACAGGTCATACCCTCGATGCAGTTTTAGTATGGAACAGGAATATCCATGGGCGGAAGTCATAAAAACTTCCGCTTGTCATGGACAGATCATTAACTGGTCAAGATGGAACTAAAGGCCACTGTCTGCCCCCCCGGGGGTGGCGGACCTATTAGAATGGTCCGCCTTCAAAGGCTAATGGAACCAATTGGTTTCCAGAAGGCCTTAGAGGGGTTGATGGTTTGTAACACTGGTGATTCTGTTGAAGCCTTGGTGGACACTTGGAACACCGATCTCACCAGGGCTATTGACACAATCACTCCCAAGCGTCCTTTCCAGCCTGCTTCTAATCGTAAGCCCTGGTATACAGAGGAGCTTAGGAGGATGAAGTGAAATGGACAACGACTAGAGTGCGAATGGCGAAGGACTCGTCTCTCATCCAACAGAACTTGCCTTAGGAAGCACCTTGATTTCTATAGGGAGGCTTTACATGCAGCGCAGAAATCCTTCTGTTCTTCACTAATTGCGTCTGCAGAGTCTTGCCTGGCAGAGCTGTTTAGGGTGGTGGGGAAGCAGATGAAGGTTTCACCTGCACCAAATCCCCTACTGAACCCAATGACAGTCTGCTGTGAGGTGTTTAACATCCACTTTGCAAATAAAATCTCTCGGATAAGAGCTGACTTGGACGCCAATGTTTTGGCAGAATCCGTAGACGAGGTATCCAGCAACTCTGTTGATGGTAATTTACTGGATCAATTTCAATCTGTGAGTACTGATGACATGGACAAGCTCCTTGGAAGAATGAGGAAGACGACTTGTCCTCTTGACCCTTGTCCATCTTGGCTGGTTGCCAGGGGGAGGACGCGTTGAGAGTATTCATTTGGAATCCAATCAATGCATCCTTTAGGGAAGGTTTTGTACCATCTTGTTTGAAGGAGGCGGAGGTTAGTTCACAGAACTAACCTTCCCTGGACCCCCTTGACAGAAACAACTACAGGCCAGTCTCCTTGCTCCCTTTTTTGATTGAGAGGGCAGTTGCTTCCCAACTCCAAGCAATCTTGGATGAAACCGATTATCTTGATCCATTTCAAATCGGCTTCAAGACAGGATATGGAGTTGAGATAGCAATGGTTGCTCTGACCAATGACCTCCACCTGGGCATTGACAGGGGTACTGTGACCTTGCTGGTGCTCTTGGATCTCTCAGCAGCCTTCAATACAATAGATCATGCCATCCTCTTGGATCACCTGAGAGAGTTAGGAATTGGAGGCACTGCTCTGCAGTGGTTCCATTCCTTCCTCTCGGGCAGATCCCAGAGGATGAAGCTCAGGGACAGTTGCTCTTCCATAAGCGAGCTTAATTGTGGCATCCCTCAGGGTGCCATTATCTCCCCGATGCTATTTAACATTTGTATGAAGCCGCTGGGTGAGATCATTCAGAGGCATGGAGCGCGGTGTCATCAGTATGCCAATGACACCCAGATATATTTCTCCATAACCAGATCATTGGCTCAGACTTCAGATGGCATCTCTCCTCTCAATGACTGTCTCAGAGTGGAAATGGATTGGATGAGAAAAAAACAGATTGAAAATCCAGACAAAACAGAGGTGCTGACAGAAACAGGCCTGAAACCAGATTTGGGAATACAGTCTCCAATCCTGGATGGAGTCACACTCTCTTCCAAGGACTGTGTTCACAATCTGGGGGTACTCTTGGATCTGTTGCTTCACATGACTTGTCAGGTGAATGCGGCTCTCAGGAGTGCATGTTATCAGCTTCGGATATGAGGGATTTGGAAACTGTGGTAGATGCTTTGGTAACCTCATGTCTGGATTACTGCAATACACTCTACATGGAGCTACCCTTGTGCCTAACCCGGAAACTGCAACTAGTACAAAACATGGCAACTAATTACTGGAACATCAATGAAGGAGCACATAACACTTGTGCTCAAAT